TTCCTTCCTTCCTTCCTTCCTTCCTTCCTTCCTTCCTTCCTTCCTTCCTTCCTTCCTTCCTCCTTCCCTCTCTTCCTTCCTTTTCTTCCTTTCCTTTCCTTCCTTTCTTCCATTCGTTCAATCAGTGACAGTTAAGACTGGGGAAGGGTCATCACACTAGATGCACAAGAAGCAGATTTTGCCCCTAACGAGCTCTCTGGTGGGAGACAGGAACACATTACCATGAGGGAATGATTAGTTCCCTTTTGTGACTCATGGGGACAACTTCCTGAAAGGATGAAATCTGAGTTTTCAAAGTGTGTATGGGGACAGGGGCTGAGTGACCAGGGGTGACATAGAGAACAGCGTGAGCAACCCCCCCTGGGTTGGACTCCAGTATATCAGATAACGTGCTGCACAGTGCGGATTCTTGGGAACCAAGCGCACTGCTTCCCAAGAGAACTCTCATCGTGTGTCACTGAATTTTACAAAAACCAATTCCAGTCTAGCCTTCATCCCTTCTATGCCATTGAACCAATTTTATTTTGGTCACCAATGATCGCCATGTTGCCAAATTCTGTCAGATATCAAACTACTGGACCTCACTGACCCTTCCCAATTTTGGCTGTGCTCTCTTCTGGAATTTTCCATCTACCTCTCTGACTTCTGTCTACTTGACCTCTGGTTTACCCAAGACTAACCCAAACCCTAATCCACAACTCTAAACAATACCACCCATTCCTGCGACTTTAAACTCAACCCTTTTGTGCACAGGATCCGAATGTGTCTCCGAGTAATCCAGCTGACCTCATCTTGTCTGCTCTACACCTCCCTGAATATTTCTACCTGGTATTTCTTGGGCACCCCAGACTTAAGTTCCAAAGATAAGTGTTTCAAACACTCCTGCTTCAGGTTTCGCTGTGGTCCAGCTAGGGTCCGCCCTGGCAGTAGCTAGTCACAGGCAGTTAGTCTCACCTCGGTATCTAGTTGCCAGGTTGTGCCAGTTAGCTCTAGCTCTACCTACTTCTCTACATCTGTCTCCATGACTGACAGACGCCTTGGTAGAGAGCACCATCCCCTTGCATTTAGACAGCCACTTTGCTCAGAAGGTCATCACACAGCCGTGAGGGTGGAAGCAGAAGCCATGGCAGTGTCCTGCCTTCAGTCCCTGTTCTGGAGAGCACCATCTGGTCAGACACCCCAGCTCCATCCTCTCCTGGTCCATGCGGAGTTTTGAAGTTAGGTGTGACACATGACTTTCTTGTTTTCTATTCTAATAAGAATAAATTTATTCAGTATCCTAGTAAAAATTTTGATCGCAAGTATCCAACAGTTTAAAAGTACCAAACAGATCTGTAGGTTTAAAAAATGAAACACTTCACAAATTTGTACATTATCCTTGTACAGGGGCCAGGCTAATCATCTCTAGATCATTCCAATTTAGTATTTGTGCTGCCAAAGACAGCATACAACTTTCTTTGAACAAAGGCACGTGACCAAAAGCTTTAAGCACACTACCTCTCCCTCTTCCTATGCCGTGATGGCAAGGTGGCCAGCAGCAGAGTGACAAGCATGAAGCCCTGTCTCAGCTCCCAGCGGCTGCAGAGAACGACGTACCTCACCAATGTCTTACAGAATGAACCAGACCTACGGTACGAGGCTCCCGGCCCTCCCCTCATCTCGGGCCTGTCCTTCCACTCACTGCAGTCCGCTCACGCTGACCCCTTGCAAGTTTTAGAGCAAGCCACCTTTTAACTCAGCATTCTTCACTTACTCCGAGCCTTCTTAACCTTCCGCTCTCAGCTTAACAATGGCATCTTCATAGCTGTCTCTAATGACATCACAAAGACTGTCCCTGCAGCCCCCAGCACGTCCCCCTGACGGCTTGCTGCCCAGCACATCAGTCTGTGATGATCCCTCCTCTCTGTGATTGCCTCCCTGACTGCCCTGAAAACAGGAGGGGGAGGGGCTCCCCAGCATCTCTGGAGCTTGCACTGCGCCGTTTGGATGTTGAGCCTTCTGTTCCCACAGGATCGGCCGAAAGCCCATTTCTAGAACCTCTTGTCATCAGAGGGCAGAAGGAGCGGTGAACGCAAACTACTGAGAAATCAGGCATTGCACTTTCTTCTTGGTCTTTCTTCTCAGAGTGAAGAAGCCACTCTGATTAGGAAGATGGTCTATTCCTTGAATCCCTCTACGGGACTTGAGGTCAACCTGTCGTGGTTTAATTTACCCTCAGGTACTATCACCAAATGCCTTGTTGGTCACAGAACACAGAAAGCTAATGGTCTCAGGGACCTGAGCAAGTCCTGAACACATTAACAAGGACCACGAATATTCAGGACGAATAGAGCAACCTGACTTTTTTTTTTAGCCTCTGACCTCCTTTGTGAAGGAACAACAAAAGCTGGACCTACAGCTGGGCATAGTGTCACACACCTTCGATCCCAACACTCAGAGGCAGAGACAGGAGGATTACCACAAGTTCAAGACCAACTGGGGCTATATGGAGAGTTCAGGCAAGCCAAAATTACAAAATAAGACTTTGTCTCAAACCTCCTCGCCAAAAAGCAATCAATCAATCCAAGGGACAGCCGAGCTCCCAGTGAGAAGACCAGCCCAGCAGGAGACTTAGATCTGTCTTCTAACAACTCAGGAAACAGCACCCAGACAAGCAGTTATTTCCCTGCCTAAGAGAGGCAGTCTCCTGGTCAAGTGTCCTTCCCACACGCACCACCTCCCCAATCAAGAACTAGCAACTGTGTGAGAGCAACTGGTAGATCATGTCCATGTCACACCTGAGTTCTAAGGCCCCAGTGTTTTCTTTGCTCCATAGACTAGAGAGTCCCGGGCAAAAAGAACATACACAATAAAAACGGAGATAGGAAGAGCTATTTTAATTTTCTTTTTAAATCTTCCAAAAGCATTATTTTTATCCAAACCTAAGTTATAACAAAGAGCATTAGAATCAGAAAAACTAGGAAGATAGATGCAGACAATCAAATGTATGAAAAAACAATTGTGAGACTCAGTTTATGAACTTATTAATAGGAAGTTAGAATTGAAGCCTGTGCCCCTGGAAGAAACTTCATTCTATTGTGTTTAGCAATGGCATCCAATGGCTCTAGTCCCCCAATTTTTTAAAAGATGCCTATTAAAAAAATATTTTAAAAACAGCTCTGTTCAGCTGTAAATTCCCTCCTAAGCTCTGACCATAATTCTTGTATTTTATTTGGGAAGAAAAGAACTGTTTCTGATGGCATGAAATGCACATTTTCAAAGTTTTTTCTTTTTTCTTTTTTTAAAACTTAGTAAGAATTTTATTTTAAGAACTATTAGAGAGAACTTGATGCAGGTAATTAAGTGCGAGACACCAACTCCTGGTAACTATGGAAGTCTGTTTCTTCTCCAGTCCCCCAAGAGGAACTCTCACACCAAGTGTTCCGCACAATGATCCTTAAATACACTCCTAAGCAAAACAAGAGCTTTGTTTACAGTCTTTAGATTACCGTTCTGAATTTTATTCTGAAACGCCAATTTACCCCAAACCATCATTGACATAGTAGCTTTGTCGTGCACAGTTGTACTCAAGTTCTCAAAGCAGCAGCAGCAGCAGTCTGGGAGGCCCAATTCACCCCCAGCTCGGGAAAACCTCGATTGGCCACACCCACTTAGCAACAAATCGACCTCATGCTATCCAGGAAGTGTCAGTCTAAGCCCTGACAAGGAGCCATGGATATCTACATATCTACACATCTCATCGTGTGTTCTGGGGTTGCTGAGGGAGCTCTTCACAGCTTGGCTTTGCCGGGCTGAAGCTGAAGGTTCTGCAGTTTCATCGCCAGAGCCATGTTACCAGCAATTTTCAGTTTACCTTGAAAGAAGGCCTGTGAGTGATAAAAAAAATACCATTCATTAGTTGGCGGGTTTTGTTCAGCATTTGCTAGTGTTTCTAGACTATTAAGGCCTGAGATCATCTATCAGGTCCTTAACCTTCTGCAAAAGACAAACCTTAGCTTTCTGGGACAGATTCAGAACAAGATCCCTTAAAAGGAAGAATTCCCAACAGCCATGCTTTATGTAAATGAAAGGAATCCCCAAATTCCCTTCTCTTAAAAGTTGGGGCTCTCTACCTCAAATGTAGTATACCTTGTTCAAATGCTAGGCAAAACAGATCCACAGTAGATGAATTTGCTTTAAAATATTACTGGGCTTAAAACATGAAATGAAATTTTCCACAGGTTGCTGCGAGAGAAAGCACACTCAAGCCCAGCTGGAAAGTCCCAGGATTCAGTGGATGGTCAACTCCACCACGGCTCTGCTCTGCTCAGCTTTCCCCAAAGGACTGGTCCCTGCAGAGGACAGCCCCTGTTCCCGAGGTATTTCTGTTCCTCGCGCTCAGAGAGAAGCCTCAGCCACTCTGAAGGGCAGAGCCACAAACTGTTCCATTTAACAAGGCTGGGGATTAGATCACATGACATTTGCTAAATTTACTGTGTAACAAAATCCTAGGGAGACTCAGAAGTAACAAAATGAGAAATATACATGACTTCTGCTATGACTTTAGTGTTTTAACTCAGTCTTTGAAATAAGGAAGAGCTGGCTGAGAGAGGTTTCTGGGAGTCTCAGAAGCAAGCAGCGTTGCTGGGTTTTTCCACACCCTGGTAGGGATCACCAACACTCCCATTCCCCAGTAAGGACAAACTAAATATTTCCTTTTTATATGGCACAACTCCTTCTGTCTGATGACTTAAAGGTCAGGTGTCTCAGAACACAATATATTTAACATATGTTATTTAAAAATACAAACCAGCTGTACAACTGAAATGCACCACCTTCTCCTTTTAAAGCTACAGGAGAAAATAATGGAGAAAGCATGAGCATCCCCCACGAGAATCCAAGCCTGAGAACCATGTTAATCTGGCCCTAGGTATTCTTTGTGCTTCTCTGTTGGCCGGATCACTGCTTTGTTTCAACTACAGCCAAACACTGGAATTAGAATTTCCACTGCACTGAACGATTCCCAGTCAAATCCTCTACCAAGCATCAGGAAAGGCCATTAGCACATTCACAGAGAGGTCTGCTACTTGAATCTTCAGTTCCTCTGGGTGTTAACAGGTGCTGAAGGAAAGCAAGCTGATACCATGCCCCTCAAACGCTTGTTCCTAGATAAACTAGAGAACAAGGACATCGGATGTGTGAGGGGCGAGCCTCTGCCAGAGCTGTGTGGTGTGCACAGAATGGGCGCAGCAGCTGGGAAGAGGGTGACAGCCAGCTCCTGTGCTGGTGGCCTCTGTCCCATCCAGGTTTCTGGAGCGGACTGTGGGTGGTGATGTCAGCGCTGGGGTGGGTGTTTCACTGAAGCATCACAGATGCACACTGCTCAGTCACGGCATTGCTGAGACATGCTTAGTTGCTAAGAAAACCCATTTAAACAGGAAAAGGAGCGGGAGCCAGATTCAGTTTTGTCCGTCATCAGTTACCTGGGAATACCAGAGACAAGATCTGAAGCAGCTAAGACAACAACAAAAAACGAAGTTAGACTAGAGGGAAGGTCTTGGGTTTCTTTTCTGCTAATGGGAGGCTTGCTGTCTCCAGTCCTCTTGACCCTGTTGATAAAGAAGGTTCCTTGACAACTCTGGGACCAGGGGGAACCATATGAGGCATGTGTACATTTTAGATAAATACACCTTTTAATCTAACAACTGTTGATAGCAACCTAAAACCACCAGGCATTGTACTGCTGTAGAACCCCCGAGAACACATGATGTGTTTGGTCTTCTGTGGCACTCGAGATCTACCAGGGATGAGACAGACTCAGGACAAGTGCTCAGCTCAGCCAGGAGAGGAACTGTACTCAACAACTCAGTCAGTCCTTGAGGAGCTGATTTGAAAAGGCAAGTCTGTCAGGGAGCAGAGTTTAGGCAAAAAGAACTTGGGCACCAAGAGGAACACAGAAGGCCCTTTTTACAGTCACTACCACCTCTTGCTTCCTCAATGTGTCCCTTTCTACTGAGCCTTGTTAACTCTGTATGTTAAGCCTTTCCTGAGATTCCTTCCACATGTGGGCTGACCACAGCCAGGAATGGTACCTTAGACCTTACCATGGATCTTAGCAGCTGTGCTTGGTGTGTGTGTACGTGCATGCATGTGTGCATGTGTGCATGTGTGTGTGTGTGTGTGTGTGTGTGTGTGTGTATACATACACCAAGAGCAGAGGTCAACACTGGGTGTCTTCACCTTATTTTCTGAGACAGCTCTCATTGTGAGCTCCAAGGATTCATGTGTCTTTGCCTCCCCAGCACTGAGATGGCAGACGTATACGTATGCCCAGCTTCTTCCCATGAGTGCTGGCGATCCAAACTCAGGTTCTCATGTTTGTGCGGCACGCACTTCACAGAAATCTGTTTCTTACCACACTAAGTGCAGGGACTACCTCAGGTTCCCCTGGCACTTCTAACACAGAGATGGTATTGTTCACATACGTCTGTGACATCGTACTTACCGACTGAGGATTCATTTTCCCAGTCATCAAAGCCAGCAAATCCGAGTCAGCCATGGTGATAGTGCAGTCAGCCTTCTTATCTACAGCAGACACACGCAAGAGAAAAGAAGAAGAGAAGAAAGCATTCAGGACATGACACTTGGAGACCACTCCATGCACGAGACTCACAGCTGAAGCAGCAAGAGGACCCCGGCACTCAGGGACACTTCTGCCGCAGTCTGGTAAGATGGGGTAACCTTGATGTTCAGTAACAGGAATGAGTTAAGAAAGCGCAGTGCGTTCTTATACTGGAACACAAGACAGCCAGGGTCTGGACGGCGAAGGTCTGGTATTTGTGACAACAGTGATATAGAGGTAGTGACAAAGTAAACCCCCAATAATGACCTCATTTTGCTTAAAAATAGTATTCAACGATAGAAATGAAAGAAAAACAACTGTCGTCTTAGACACGGATATGTTACGGTTACTGTGGTTGACAGACTCAGGGTGGCCCTCGTGATCGCTGCCTACCTTTGCACAGTCCCCTGGGCCAGTGTGAGCAACACCTGTGCCTTGCTCCTGCCACGGGAAGGTGCTGGAATGGAATCCACAGGATTTACCCTAACAAGCGCCCATCTTGCCAGCAAACTCACACTTGCACTCCTCCTGGCTCTGATCAGCCAGCTGTGTATGCAAACTTCCCTAGAGAGGGCCACACTTTCCAAGGAGCCGGGGGCAACTGAGGCTGTCATTCTCACAGCCACAGGAAACACATTCTGCCAAAAACCTGGCTTAGCCTGGACGCCGAAACCAATCAAGCCTCCAGATGGGGCCCAGCCCCGGCCACTAACTTGATGGCAGTTTTATGTAACCCTGTGCAAGAGAATCAAGTTGGGCTGTCATCAGCTTCTTAACCATTGGAAATGTGAGGTGATAAAGAAATGTGTCCATTCCCCCACTATGTAGCCCAGGCTGGCCCCAAACTGGATTACAAGTACACGCCACCAAGGGAATGTATATATTTTTTTAAGCCATTAAAGTCATGACGATTTGTTTTGCAGTCAGAAGAAATTAACATAATTACATAAATATGGGATTAATCAACATTTCTGGTAAAAGATCAGACACTAAATAGTGTGGGCTTTGAAGGTCACCAGGTCTCTATCACAATTCGCTATTCTATACAGTGCAAAAGCAGCACAGATAACATGCCAGTGAGTAGCAGGGTCCAGCAAAGGGGTCCTTTTTTTGTTTTTTTATTTATTTATTCATTTCGGGGTTGTGTGTGTTCATATACACATCCACACACTTATGCCCATGTACAACATAGTGTGTATGCATCAGAAGACAACTTGAGGGAGTAAATTTTCTCCGACTGTGAGTTCCGGACTCAAGTGCCTTTAGCCACTGAGCCATTTCACCAGCCTCCCCCCAAAAAAACTCAAAGCAGTGTCAGAGGGAGGGAAAGGCACCTCCAACTCACGGATCTACAATCTGTGTCCAGAACACTGAAGGAATTCCTACCACTCAGCGGCGAGCAGGTAGGGGGGGGCTGGGGAATGGCTGGGGTGCTTGCACACGTACAAGGACCTGAGTTCGGATCCCCAGTGCCCACAAAAGCTGGGTGCAGCCGGGCAGCAGTGCAAACCTTTAGTCCCAGCACTCAGGAGGTGGAGGCAGGTGCATTTCTGAGTTTGAGGCCAGCCTGGTCTACAGAGAAAGTTCGAGGACAGCCAGGGCTACACAGGGAAACATTCTCAAAAAACCAAAAACCCTGGGTATAACCTCAGCGCTGGACGGTGGAGGGAGGGTGGAGACCTGAAGGTTGCTGGTGCTTGTGGGCCTCAAACCCTGCTCCAGGTTTAGGTTCAGTGAGAGATTTTTGTCTCAGAGGAACAAGGCAAAGTGACAGGTCAGGACCCCACATGTGTGCACTTGAACGTACACATACAAATGTGCAAGGCCACCCTGGAACTCTCAAGGTAGACCAGGCTGGCCTTGAACTCACAGAGATCTGCCTATCTCTGTCTCCCAAATGCTGGGATTAAAGGTGTATGCCAGCACGGCCCAGCCTAAAGGGTTTTTGTTTTGTTTGGTAGATTTTATTGAGTATAAATTATAGCCTGATAGACATGACTTTAAAAAAACTGCCAGTTCCAAGTACTATAAAAAAATATGAGGCAACTGAATATAAAACAGGCACTATAGCAAAACCCTGACGGTGACGCACTTTATGACCTAACACTCCCACCCCAAAGAAATGTCCCAGGATGTGATAAAATGTCCAGAACAGCTTTCTTAAGACCTAAATTGGGAACAAGGCAAGGCAGGCGCAACCTACAACAAGTCAATGCTGGGGTTGGGGCATGGTCAAGACGAGCAGTCAAGAAGAGCCTTCACTGCCTGCCATCATTTGCCCGCATCCTACACTGCTGAACAGGAGGCCAACGTAAAAAGAAACAACTACGGGATGATTCCGTCAACAGCTCCTAAAATAAGTAACACTCCATCTGTGGTGACAGAATCTGCAACAAGGGTTCCTTTTTGGGGTGGATGGTATGAGGAGGGGCCTTAGGGAGGCTTCTGGAATGCTGGAATGCAGCAACATTCTGAAGCCTCCTGATCTGGGAGGTGTATTATTCTGCAAATATTCATCAAGAGAGTACTTCAGAGCTATGCCCTTTGCCACAGGCTAGACTTCAATAAAAGTTACCCAAGTGAAACAGAGTAAGAAAACAGGCGGTGGGCTAGACCTGGTCCATAATCTGCCACTTCCTAGACTAGACGGTAGAACTGTGGGAGGAAACGTCTACCCTCGTTTTATTCCTCCATCTTTTTCTAACCTTTTATACTAACTGTCCGTTACTCAGTGTCTTAAAGAGTATTCATTTGGGTATCATTAAGTATGATAGAAGAAGACTGGACCACAAAGATTAACATCCCATTGTTGAATTAGCCATGAGGACCATGGGCAGCCAGAGGTTTCCAGGAGAACGGACAAGGTCCCCTTAGCAGCCAGTGTGTTAGGCAATCAGCCAGTGGAACAGGGCCAATAGTGGACTCCTCATTTTATAAGGGATTAGCTCAAATAAAAGCTGGCCTTTCCTCCAACCAAGCCACCTTCGACCCTCTACCTTTTACTTATTACATTTATCTAAGACTATATTATGTACTTATATAGATTTTCTATCTGTATTTGTACAAAGAATGAGAAACTTCACGGGGGCAGGATCCACCTCAGTCTTGTTTATTATTATGTCCCCAAGTCCCCAGAAGAGGGTGTCACAAATAAAGAGCAGACAATAAACTGTTCAGATAATCTGGACCCGAAGAAAAGAGACAGAGGCCAGGACTGGCAAAGCATGCCTGTAACTCCAGCACTCAGAAGGCTGAGGCAGGAGACTGTCCTGACTGGATGGATGCTCTCATCACTGCTCAGCAGGCCAGGGTGACAGGGTGAGAACCAAGGCAAGCCTGGCTGGGATGCATAGTAATACTTGAGTAATACCTCAAGTTGTCTGTAACTCCAGCTCCAGGAGATCCATGATCCTGGACTCCGCAGGCACTGACACACACATATCCACACAGAGATACACACATGAACACATAATTAAGAAGAAAAAAATTTAAAAAGAGAGAGAGAAAAAAAAAAAAAGAGGGCTTACCCGGCATGATAGTGCACACCTTTAATCCCAGCACTTGGGAGGCAGAGGCAGGCTGATCTCTGTGAGTTCAAGGCCAGCCTGGTCTACAGAGTGAGTTCCAGGCCAGCCCCGGCTTTTTTACATAGAGAAACCCTGTTTAAAAAACAAAAACAAAAACAAAAACAAAAACAAAACCCGAATGGGGAAAAATAAAGACAAACAAACAAACAAAAACAAAGGTGCCTGACATGGTGGTACACACCTTTAATCCCAGCATTTAGGAGGGAGAGGCCAGCCTGGTCTACCTAACGAATCCCAGGAGAGCCAGGGTACATAGTGAGATTGTCTCAAAAAGAGGAAGGGAGGAAAAGACAGGGCAGAGCATTAGAGAAGGCACGCCTGCATCCAATGGCCATTTCCACTAGAGCTGCCAAAACAATTTTCTAACTGTAAGACAAAAGGCCTGAAACTTTCAAAATGAAGACAGTTTACTGCCTAGAAAATCAAATTCTACTGCAAATACCTAATATCAAAGAGCAGGTAGGGGGTAGAGAGTGGGGGAGCTAACTAATGAGACAGCTGGACCTGATTCTGTCATTTCCAGTGGCTTTGGGAAGTGACATCTGCTCTGCAGTAACTACTGAGATCTCCCCATGCTGAGCGTGGACAACTCTGTCTCCTCTGACTACATCTACTGAGATCTCACCATGCTGAGCATGGACAACTCTGTCTCCTCTGACTTTATAAAACCCCCATGCAAGTGAGAGAGATCAAATGACTTGCCTAAGATCACACAGTGGCTGCATCTAAGAAAAATTAGTATTTAACATATTGATTCGTGAAGTCTTACGATGCTAGGTGCTTTAAGACCCTGTATCTCATTTAATTCCCACAACGGCTCTACTGACAGAAACCACCTTCAGCCATTTTCTAGAGGAGACAATTAGATGCAGGGAAGGAATGTACCTTGCCTAAGAGACTGAGCCAGGATCTGAACCCAGGCTTGAGAGCCTCCAAAGGCTCATCATAGTGTACCTGGGGACGGGAGACCCAGAGGCATTCTCTACCCTGCTGTCCATGAAGGGTCAGGGTGAGAACTCAGTAACTTAGGGCAGAAGGAAGGAATGAGGAAATAACACTGCTGTGGGATGTTCTGTATGTCCTGTGGGAGCCCGTTCTTGGGTTCCTCGTGGCTTTACCCAGCAGGTCCGCATAGAGGATGATTAGGACCACGGGTCTGAGTGCAGGTGTCTGAGATGATCTGCACTTGGCTGTGCTGGGGGATGGTCTGTATGTCAAGTTGCTCTGATTGGTCAATTAATAAAACCTGATCGGCTGTGGCTAGGCAGGAAGGATAGGCGGGACTAACGGTGAGGAGAAATAAAAGAACAGGAAGGCGGAAGGAGTCACTGCCTGCAGCAGCCGCCAGGACAAGGAAGATGTAAAGTATTGGTAAGCCACAAGCCATGTGGCAAGGTATAGATTTGTAGAAATATATTAATTTAAGCTATAATTAAATTAATTAAATGACAGTTAGCAAGAAGCCTGCCACGGTCATACAGTTCGTAAGCAAAATAAGTCTCTGTGTTTACTTGGTT